TGCGTCCGGCATACTTGCGGCGAATCCCGACATCACGATCAAAGTCCGATCGTACGTGTCGAAAACTTCGTACTTGAATAGTTTCTTTTTGGAACGTAAAAACTCATATTTCGTCATATCCCAACAGGCTACTCCACCAGGCATCCTTCCGTTAGGCACTACACCCTCCCAGAACCGACCGTTCCAACCAACAAATTTCATTTAAAATTAGCCCCCATAGTCACTATTCGTTTCCATAACCTCCTCACAAATCCCCAGTATTGGCCATTTCATTTGAACCAATGCAGACTTTTCCCCCACGCACCCTTGATGCCATCCTCCAGGTCGGTCGTTCTGCTTTGACAACCGTCAAGGACCTACCCCTGGACACTACTAAGGAACACCTCCTCCTCTCCAACTACTTCCACACCCATACCGCTAGTGAGTGCAAAAACATCCTCCTCTCCCAAGCGCACGGATTTGCTTACTTTGATGGTGCCAATGGTACCCTCCGGCAAGTCATCTGCGCTAAGCAGGTCGGCCCCAACTTGCACTGGGCATCCGCCAATGATAGCTATGATGCCCCCACCCCAGTTGCTTTTTCTTTAGATGCCCTTGGCAGCAGTGTCATATCTATTGCCCGAGACGACCTCGCTCGAGAATGTCAAGCCCGGCACCTTCATGACGCCCAATACTCTGCCCACACTGCCTTGGCCCCCGATAGCACCGACCCTCCCAAGGACATCCACTGGCCCAGTGGGGACGGCGTGTTCACCGAAGTCAAAAAGTTCTTCCCCATCTACCCTGGTGCCAACATCCCACCAAGCCTTACGCTATCCGCCGCCCCACCAGCCAATCTGGATTCCTTCCACCCCCAATTCCGGCTCTGGTACGAGGCAATGGAGTACCTTCACGATCACAATGAGTCCCAGAGCCTCCATTCCCACGCCCACATCTTTAGCGTCGACACCATCCCAACCGATCGATTTCCAGACAGCGACCTGGCTACGCATCTGACATATTCCCCATCCACCGTCAGTGCGTTTGCAGCTGAAGTCCCCACCTACAAAGCCCTCTTCAAAGAATTCAAACGGCACTCGGCCCTCTCTACTTTAGCATCTACTAATCATGTCACTACTCAAGAAGCTCCAGCAGCCCCCCTTCCAGCAGGAGCCCCATTCGATAGCGAACTTTTTGCCCAGATCAT